ATATTAAAATATTAAAATAAATTAAATAATTATTAAATTGTAAATAAAAACAAAAATTTTTAAACATTTGTTATCAAAAATCAGTTTTGTTTTTTATTTAAAATTTAATCAATATTTAATTTAATTAAAGTTATAGTATTATTTATTATATTTTTATATTTTAATAATTATTAAAATATGATTTATATTTTTATAATAGTTTTATCAAAAAATAAAAATAATAATAACTAAAATAAGAGTAAAAATAATAAAAATAAAAATTATATTAAAAATCACATTTAATATATTTAAATATATTAAATTATATCAAAATATTAAATAAATTAAATAATTATTAAAATTTAAATAAAAAGTAAAATTTTAGAAACGTTAGTCGGATATTGACGTCCGATAAATTTATAATCGGATATGGATATCCGATAAATAAATTTTTCTAAAATTTTGATTTTTATTTTAATTTTAATAATTATTTAATTTAGTTTAATATTTTAATATATTTAAATATATTTAAATATATTAAATGTGATTTTTAATATTATTTTAGTTATTTTAATTTTTAATTTTTAATTTTTAATTTTTAATAAAACTATTATAAAAATATAAATTATATTTTAATAATTATTAAAATATAAAAATATAATAAATAATGCTATAATATTTAGTTAAAATAAATATTGATTAAATTTTAAATAAAAAAACAAAACTGATTCTCGATAACAAGTTTTTAAAATTTTTTGTTTTTATTTACAATTTAATAATTGTTTAATTTATTTTAATATTTTAATATAATTTAATATATTTGAATATATTAAGTCAAATTTTATATTATTATTATTATTTTATTTTTATTTTTATTTTAATTATTTTATTTTTATTTTTTTAGTATAGTTATTATTATAATATAAATCATATTTTAATAATTATTAAAATATAATATTATATTAAATAATATTTAAATTTTAAATTAAATTAGAATTATTATTAAGGTTGTGTAGAGTTTCTTTAATAGAAAAAGAGAAGAAAATAAAATTTTTTTAATTAGAAAGATAAGAAAGTTAAAAATGAAATTTTTAAAAATGTTGGAGGTGCAGGATGTCAGAAGGTTAAAAATGTAATTTTTGGAGGTGCAGGATGAGATGTTGGAGGTGTAGGATGAAACACTCATGTTCATGTTCTCCTTTCAACTCTCTCCAATGTTGTATTTTCAAACTGATATCTCTTCTCGATCCACCCAAGAGAATACAACATTCAAGTTTTCCGGTGGCTCTCCATAGCAGATCATGCCACATTCCTTAGTACAACTTCAGTGTCTTGTCAGAACTTCCAGTCACTTAATGTAGCTGTTTGCTAATTACTTTATCCGTCACTTGATCCGTCTCACGGTGTAAAACCAGAAAAGGAAGTGAAACCTAACAAAAAAAT